TAATGCTGGAAAACTTGCAGAGGGTTCATAGGAATGTCTCGGGTTATTTACATCCGAATGCGAACAGACAGCATCTGCAATCTGATGTTTGTACCTGACATCCCTTGGTTTGTACAAACTAATGGGAAGTGTGTTCAATGTGATGCACAATGCAAAAAGGGTTTAAAAGCCAAAGTGCGCTGCTTATTTTTTATAAAAGTAACCCTAGCGGATGACTGCAAAGGGGATGGTTGACCCAAAAATGTACTTACCCCCTTTACTTGTTACAAATCTATATGAGTTTCTTTTTTTGTTGTTGAACACGAAGCTGAATATTTTGAAGAATGCTGGAAGGCTGTCTTTGTTTTGCAATTTAATATGCAAAACAGCAATGGAATATGTAAAACGCCAATGCTTTTCTGTATTTAAATTAGCATTTTCCATCACTTATATGCAAAGTTTGTGCAAAAGGAAGATGATAAATGAATTATAGGATTTACATTTGCTATTTTTATATGGAGAGGCAAATTACACTGCATTAAATCCTTATATGCATTAATACATACACATCAATTAATTTAATTTAGCCACTTTTAAAGTGTTATATTAAGACTACACTGTAAAAAAAAATACATGAACTGTATATTTTCATGTGTACAGTTCATGTTATGAACCCCCATGTTATGGGCACTTTTATGTCCTTCGATCATATATCCAAAAATGTATACAATTTTGTTCAAACTTTGTCTAACTAATAATAAAACTTACTTTAAAAATTTGACTACCTTTCGATTATATATTTTTCATATTTTTCAACCTCCTTTTAGGTGTCAAAATCAGTGTTTTCACCTTGTCGCACACCCAGAGTTTTAAACTTCAACAATGAAAATAACAGTTTAAAATATTATTTATCTGGTATCTATTAATGTATCTTAATGAAGCACTAGTTAAATAATTTAAATATTTTATAGTTATTAATGTGAGACTATTATCAATTTTATTTTTTTTACTAAATATAGCTGTCGCACAGTATCGGTGTCATTTCCACCACAACACTGTAATGTCGCTTTAAAAAGTTTGTGTGAAAGATTATTTAGGTGGTTTCTATGAAAACTAATAGTGCCATTATCTGAGAACATGTTCAAGATGGAGGGAATTTACATTTTCATCAACAACACTTAAAGAAAAATCAAGGTAAATATTGCTTGATAAGGAAACACATTTATTCTACGTCATTTCCAAACATGTTGTACCCTCAAAAGTGTTTTCAAAAACCAAACAAAATTAAGGTAAGGAAGAGTGTTTTGTATACATGAAAGACTAGTATCAATTCAAAGCTAATTGGTGAAGCTATTTTTAATTTTTTTTTTCACAATAAACAGTTGAAATGTCATTTCTACCACTGTCATTTCCATCACCACACACACATTTTTAAAAAAATATATTTAAAAAGTTCTCATCACACATTAAAAGTGTATTCACAATGTATAAGTTCTTGCTCTATTTAATATACAAATTCAGTTTATTTATTTTCTAATAAATAAAATTAATATTCAATTTTAGAGTGTGACAGATCTACAATTCAACACACAACTAATTTATTTCATTGACAAATCTATAATTATTATATATATTGTGAAAAGATTGGTTAAATTAGATAAAAAACTATCTTAGACAATGTTTGACTGCCATAATTTAATTTATTTTGAAATAAGCTGTATATAGAGATGTGATGAAAATGACATTTATCAGTTCAAGATCGTAAAAATTTTTCTCTTCTTATCTAAATTTGTCCTCTTACAGATCTTAAAACTAGACAGATTGTTTAAACTTTTGAGGCTATGCTACGTTAATTTTGAACAAGTTTTTTTTTTACTCAACTTTACTAAAAGAGGCTAAAAGAGCACGTAGTTGAAAAATGGCCCATACATGAGCTGTATACATGCAGTTTATGTATACAGAACTGCATACATGATATATGAATACATACAGGATCCGCTCAAGACTTCAATCGAGCTGAGACCACCTGATTCAGGTGACCGATTGTTTTGGTGTGGATCCGAGCACAATTACTGGATTCACACATGCCAAATGAACCACGCTAACTGTGGAAACACGCCAAGTTCCCAAACAAAAGTCTTTTTTACACCCTAAATTTCCAGCACAATAGTTTAAAAGCAGCTCCAGATAACAAGAAAAAATATGTAGAAAAACAATTCAGCCACCATTAGCTTCACAGAAAGATCTAGATGAGATGTTTGGGTCAAACTTACCCAACTAATCCCAGTGGCTGCTCCTTCGTGAATCAGTGACTTAATCAAATCCTCAGTCATTTTCTCATTTGAGTTGCAAATGATTTAATGATCCCTGTTGAAACGAATTAAAGAGAAACTAGTTTTTTTATTACACACTATAGAAGAAAATATCTGCAGATAGACTCCAACCTTCTACTGTCTGCAAAACAAGACAAAAGCAAGTCATGTAGTTTACTTCAGCATTTAACTAACCGTGTAGAGCAGTGGTCAAAGTTTTTTCACCAAGTGCCACCTCAGAAAAAAATTGTCTCTCCACATACCACCATAATAACCAACATTGAAATACAGTAGCATAGTAGGCCTAATTAAGCAGCTAAAGCTCTATACAGTTCAAAAAACAGGCAGATTAATTACTATTATTATGAATTTTTATTATTGTCAGCCACTTTAACCATTATAAATAGTTTGAACATTAAAACTCTACAGTGATTACAGGTAAAAAAATAAATAAATAAATAAAATTTCAACATTTAAATTAAAATGTGCTTTTAAAAGTTATTTAAAAATAGCACTGTTCTTCAAAAGTAAAAAGAAAACTTCTGTACGTAAATGTAAAGTATTAATATAAAGTAACCTATTCATCAAAACTTGGAAATGTTCCTTGGACCTCATAAATATAGGCTATATGTAATCATATTCATATAAACTGTTTTTGATAAATTTTAAAAATGTTGCATGTGTATATGATTTATTTGCATATCTTTGAAATCTAAGTGAAGTTCATTTATAGACAAATTTCGAGAGGATCACAGGCTTATGATTGTTCACAGCTGTTCCAGCATTAGCTCATGACTAATTATTCTATCAGACGATTCCTAACTCCCTATAAATAACCAGAGTTTTCTCATCTCAATTTCTTCGTCTTGAAGAACGTCGTCTTCTTCACCTTGACACTTAGCTACAAATAAGCAAGGGGGGAGTCATCGAGATCTACCTGAGCTCAAACTCCCCTCTCGCCCTGCAACGGTAGGTAGCCCAGGGCTCGAGGATCTTATAAGCTCAGGGCTCTCTCCCGGGACAGCATGCCATACAAGCTTTATTATCAATCATCAGCCACACTGTAAAAAAACAAAAAAAAACAAAAAAACGAATTTTACAGAAAATATTCCTACATTTTTTACAGTAATTTTTTGTCATTTAAAATTATATGTAGAACTTAGTAAAATGACAAACAATCTCTCTAAATTCACAGTTTGACTTTCATTTTAGTTACTTTATCATTAAAGACAAATTACTGACATTTTTGTTTTTTATACAGGGAAATTACAGTATTATTTATACAGTATTTTTTCTGTTATTTTAAATTATATTCAAAAATCCGTAAAAATTACAAACAATATCTTTAAATTAACAGCTTGACTTGTTATTTTATGTACTATATAAGTAATGACAAATTACAGCAATTTGTCTGTTTTATACAATAAAATTGCCATATTATTTACAATGTGTTTTTTCCTTTTTTTTATGAAGTACATTTAAAATTACGTAAAATTAAAGTACTAAATTGTAATTACTTGCTCTAATAAAAAATCATTAAAAAAAATGTCAAATGACTGGCAGCTGGCTGCCAAACAAAAACCATAAAATTATGGTAGAATTTCTTTGTTGAAATAAAGTGCAAAAAAATAATATATCTACAGATATTTTCATTAAAATGTTTACAGAAAAACACTGTTATTTTACAGACTTTTCCTAGATTATTTACAAATCAAAGAAATTTTACCGTAATTTTATGGTTTTTGTTTGGCAGCCGTAGCTGCCAGTCACTTGACCTTTTTTTTACGATTTTTTTCTTACAGTGTAAGTGTGAACTCTTGAAACATTAACGTGTATTTTAAATACACAAATTGGATTTACATATTTAAATTAGATCTGCTCGCTGAGCGTTAGAGTAGGCTGTGTTTCAGAAAAGCAGGTGATTAAACTATACCTGTCAATATTGGGATATAAAATACGAGATACGCTCACAACAACAGTTACAAATATAGGGAAGGAAATTAGCTTCAAATGATAGAATACAAAACAAACATTAGAAAAATTAAAATAAAATAAAAGGATTAGCCTTTTGAAATCAATTTACTAAAAGCGTGTTCATTTTTTTACTTTAATTCAACGATTTCTCTGCGCACCACTAGAAGGAATCGTAGCACAGTTTGAGAGCCACTAGTGTAGAGAAAAGTTTTTACATTTCCATCATAATAGTTTAAAAGCAGCTTCAGGTACCAAGAGCAAGTAGAAAAACAATTCAGACAAATTTCACCCCCTATTTGCAAACTCCTTTATTTGTTTATCCTTATAATAATTACATTTGGAAGAGTTCTGCATAAATTCCCCACGGCTCTCTTTAACACATTTTTATGATATGCAAATTCTGCTGAACTTCCCTCTTGTAATCAACACAAAAGTATGACGAAAAGAAGACATAATTTAACCTGTGTAATGTTTAATTGTTGCATTACACTTCTGCTAGCGCTGTGTAATAGATACACATTTGAAATACTCATTCAAGGTGCTAGCTCTGCCTGAGGGATGACTTGAAATTATTCTCTCGCTCTGATAATGGAAAACATGTCTACATGAAGATTTCACACATGAAACCCTGTTTAACTGCTAGGCTGGTGATAAATGCACCTGTCTTTCCATGTATTATTAAGACAGAACAGATTGTTCGGCCAAAAATGAAAACCGGTGTCATCATTTACTCACCCTCGTGTCATTTCAGACGTAATTGCACTGCTTCTGTGGAACACAAAGGGAAAAGATCATTTAATGCATATCTGCTTGGCTGAATTCAATTCTGCTGATAGTTAAGTGTGTGGATCTGTCTTATGAAGAGCCTAAAGAAAGTGGTTGGCCATAAATCAATGACCTTGAGGACGGCTGCAACACACAGGCTCCTTAAGAATGAATCCATGAGCGTCCACACACACACACATGCGCGAGCAGCACATCTATCAATCTCAGTTGGCGATTGGCCGGCATAATCATCTGTCACTGTCCTAATGGCTCTCTCGCTCACGTCAAGATGATGAAAGCGTCGGGTGAACGAGGGACGGCTGGGGAAAAGGTTTCAGCTCGGCTCCTGTGCTCATTAACCTCAGTGATGGTCTGACAGACAGCTGTCGAGATGAGCAGTTGACTATCTGTAAAAGAAGAACGGCTGGGTGGAAGAATGACAAAAAAAGATGGAGAGAAAGAGCAATGAGGGACACAGCAGATGAAATCAGTCGGAGAAAGATTAAATAAGCCACCATTAGCTTCTCAGAAAGATCTAGATGAGATGTTCGGGTCAAACTCAACCAACTAATCCCAGAGGCTGCTCCTTCGTGAATCACTGACTTAATCAAGTCCTCAGTCATTTTTTCATTCAAGTTGCAAATGATTTAATGATCCCTGTTGAAACGAATTAAGGAGAAACTAGATTTTTCTATGCACTACGGAAGAAAGTATCTGTAGATGGACTCCAAACCTCTACTGACTGCAAAATGAGATAAAAACCTGCAAGTCATGTATGTTATACCAGCATTTACAGTTTTTCTCAGTGGCTTTGGTGCATTTCTCACTACACTATTTACATTTGCACAACAGTTAATGCATTTCTCAAAACAATTAGTCATTTGTGCACATAGCAGTAGCAGTTTCTCATTCTTTTCAACAAATTGCGAATGCTTTTGGACAAGCATCAATTGCTTTCATACAACTCTCTGCTGTTTATAACATTATCATCTGCTTCTGTCATGTCAGTCAAAATGAACTAAACTTGTAAATGCTGAATAGTCATTCTATATAAACTAATAATCCTCATTTCATTACTTGACATTACATAACATACAAAAATGGTGAACTTGCTGAAAATCTTTATTTTCCTGAAAATGTCTTTAAAATTAAACAATTTGATGAATGATTTACAGACCTGTGTATGTTGTAGGCTCAGTTCCAATATGTACTGCAATATTGTGTACAGTTGTGCACAGCTCTACCTAAAGGAGTTTATGTTTGTTGTAAATAAGGGTGTGTTTATTCTTTTGCACAATGCTGTGAGTAAATTAGGATTGCAAAGAGCAAATGCAGTAAAAATGTGAAACATACATATCCGGTGTCTTGTACTCAGATAACTCACTAAATTCAGTGATGTCTGACTTTACTGTAGTTTTCAAATGGCTGTGCAAAGAGTCTACAGTGCTGTCTTGAGCATTTTCAGGAAGTTTCACCAAAATCTGACTTTTTTTGCATTGAAAATATGTGCAAAGTAAACTGTCATAATGAAAACATGACTAAGCCATTTGACTATCTTGTTCATAAACAATGGTGTCAGGACTTTTCATTTTGACGATACTGACAGTTTGATTGACATGAATACTTGCTTTTGAGGAATAAATTATCCATTTTGAGCATGTGACGCACTTTTGCAGGTTATCAGCTAGGTTTTGCAGTTTGCACTAATTGTTTTGAGAAATGCATTAACTGTTGTGCAAATGTAAATAGTGTAGTGAGAAATGCACCAAAGCAACTGAAAAAAACTGTAACTAAATGTGTTGAGAAAGGTTTTCAAATTTCCAGCACAATAGTTTAAAAGAAGCTTCAGATATCAAGAAAAAGTGTGTATAATAACAATTCAGATCAAATTTAACCCATCACCCCCACAAAACTCCTTTATTTGTTTCAAGAGTTCACACTTAGCTGATGATCTATCAAAAGCTTGTTTTTCATGCTGTCCCGGGACAGAGCCCCGAGCTCAAGGGATCCTCGAGCCCGGGGCTTCCTCCCGTTGGCAGAGCGAGAGGGGAGCCTGAGCTCGGTGGATCTCAGAACTCCCCGGCTGCGGTAGCTAAAGGAACACATGAAAAAAGGGGTTAGACAAGTGCTTGATTCTTATGCATGTTGGATATCTTTGGATGGTGGGAGGAACCCAGTGAAAACCCACACAGACATGGGGAGAATATACAAACTCCTCACAGAAACACCTACCGGCCTGGCGGGACCAGGACCGGCAGTGTTTTTGCTGTGGGGCTCACAGTGCTAACCACTGGGCCGCCGTGCCAACTGATAAGTGGTAAAGGAGGAGAATAGGGGAGGAAGGGAGGTTTCTTTCAAATGAAGATAAAATGGACAGAAAACTGTGGTTATTCATAGTAGCTTAGGGCTCATATGATTGGAAGATAGTGATTAGCTAATACGAGACCGGCTGTGATAAATCATAAGCACGTGATCTTCTCGAAATTAGTTTATAAATAAACTTCACCTATGCTTATAATAATTGCATTTGGAAGAGTTTTGCATAAATTCCTCACAGCTCACTTTAACATGTTATAATGATATGCAAATTCTGCTGGACTTTCCTCTTGTAATCAATACAAAAGGATGATGAAAAGAAGACATAATTTAAGTTAATTTTCTGTGTGGAGTTTGCATGTTCTCCCTGCGTTCGCGTGGGTTTCCTCCAGGTGCTCCGGTTTCCCACACAGTCCAAAGACATGTGATACAGGTGAATTGGGTAGGCTAAATTGTCCTTAGTGTATGAGTGTTTGTGTGTGGATGTTTCCCAGAGATGGGTTGCGGCTGGAAGGTTATCCGCTGTGTAAAAATGTGCTGGATAAGTTGGCGGTTCATTCCGCTTTGGCGACCCCGGATTAATAAAGGGACTAAACCGACACGCTGTGTAAAAATGTGCTGGATAAGTTGGCGGTTCATTCCACTGTGGCGACACCGGATTAATAAAGGGACTAAGCCGACAAGAAAATGAATGAATGAATTATTTAATTTCCCCTGCCCACAGCAAATGGATGACTGCTGTCTGTGTGTGATATTCTTACCAGCCAACTAAGTAAGCACACTTTCGTTCTGCCAAAGCACAATAGCGCAACCAAACTAAAAACTAAACAATAAAAACAAAAACATTTTTGCAAAAGGGTTAGATACTCAAAAATGTCACTTGTTAAATCAATTACTATATTACCAAAGATCATAAATATAAGAAACTAGATATTATACTTAGTTTAAGAGTAGGCACTGAAGTACACCTTATTTAGGTCCACTCATTTTAAAATTTCTGGCCCCTGGCTGCATATCGAAAGTGACTATAATAATTGAATGAATCTAATACAATAATTTAAAGGTGCAGTAGGTGATCTTTAGCAATGCTAATAGCTTAGCATAAATCTCTGAATCACAGTCCCTCCCCTGCCGTCTAGAGCCACGCCTCCTGAAACACGAGCACCACAAAAGAACCCTCTCTCATGTGTTAAAAGCGACTAGTGCTTGTCCGGCGGCGTGCTAGCCAAACTGACATGCTATTTCAGAGCGAATATTTAGAGTTGCATGGTAAACAATATAGGGAGAGACTAGGCGGAATAGTGCTATTTACTTGTGTTTTGTTGTTAAACTAATTAAAATCTACATTATCAATGCTGTAAAAGGTCCCTTATGAAACTGAAAATAGTCTTATCAATCTGTTATCGGAAGACTTTAGTGGCTGAATAACACCTCTGTGAAGATATATCCCGTGTGTGACAACAACATCTAATGTTACATTAGCATTGCGTGAAGTTAAAACAGCTTTAAAACAGAACATTACCTGTCTAAGAGAAATCCTTCAGACATTGTGTCATAATTTCTCCAGCATGCAAAGGTAACTTCAATATTGATTCAGGTTTTTAAAAAGTTATGATTCAGCAGGTTTTTACCGATCGCGCGCGCTCGTGCTCTCTTTCCCTCTCTCGTGAACGCGCAGCACAAACATTGGTTGGCAGAGCTGCGTACAAACGGCTGCGCAGTTGTTCAAGTCTGTATTTGCTGACAGACAGATTGGCCTACTTATCGGAATTATGAGAGATGTCGGCCCGACTCTATTTAATTGCATGAACATTTTTTAGTTTTATGCCTTACCCAAAATGTAAAAATACATATAAACACATTTAGATCATTTACTTTAATCATTACTATTAGACTGTGAAGAGACTTTCAACCAGCACAACAAAACATGCTTCTGAACACAATCACTTACTGCACCTTTAATGTGCATGTTGAATATAAGACATTTGTTTATAGGCGGTGCTTTTGTTGAAACCTCTTCTTGGTCAGTCGCAAATCTATTTAAATGCATTAAAGGGCAGCGCATATCATAGCCTTACCCTGGAGTTTGTTAACCCTCGCCTATGGTTACCACTATGCTATCTATCAGACGTTGGATTTTGGTTGCCATACCTGATGAATAAATGTCAGTATATTACGTCAATATGATGTGGGTTTAAGATGTTGGCTCGACGTTGGATTTTAGTCACAAAATTCTAAAATCAACCAAGTAACATTGTCATTTGATGTAATAATTGGACATCAAAATAATGTTGTCCTTAGACGCTGACTAGACATAAGACATAGACGGAATTTTGGTCACCATACAAAACAACCTAAATCTACTCTAATATTAACATCTTATGATGTCTTATGATAATAACTAGATGCACTACAGAATGTTACGTTTACACACATCCACAAATTAGATGTAAATGCATCAGCTTTTTACAGCGTAATACTTACTACTCACTGCTCTTCAGTACTTTTAAAGTGTCTACTTTTTACTCATACTTTTACTTTACCTGCACTACATTTTTAGGCAAGTAATGGTACTTTTATTTGAGTAGGATTTTTCAGTACTCTTTCCACCACTACTGGAGCAGCCTAATGACTACTGAAAATTCAGCTTTTCGTCAAACATAAACATGAAAGACTTCTTTACCAAACAACCCAACATCAAACTCTTTATCAAACAATCATTCAGGTTTGCATCCCAATCGCGTACGTGTTCTGTGCACTAAAATACTCCAGCGGTGAAGGCAAGGTACGTACTTCTGAATGTAGCTTTTAGAATCAGGCCAAGAAAACAACACACCGTTTCTGCCAGCCTTTTGCCTCAGGAACACGTTTATAATGCTAAAACGCTGCCTCCGTAGAGCAATATTCTGCATATGCAATCTGCCGTCGCTCAGAGTCTCTGACAAATAAAGACGCACAGAGAGTCTCTTCATGTATAGACAGTTATTTGAGTATTTGTCTTTCTCTGTGCCTGTGTGTGTGTGTGTGTGTGTGCGCATCAGAAGCCTGGGTGCAGAACAAAGAGACAGGCTCATTAGAGTTTGATCTGTTCAGCCGAGTGACTGACTGCTCCGTCTCTTTTTCTCTTTCTCTCGACTGCAAGGGAATGTGGTCCTAATGATGTGATTCCTGGTCTCTGATCAGCCTCTTCCTGACTCTCATTACCGCGGGGTGGCCAGACTGTCACAGCCCACCCGTGCCCACGTATGCCCACTTACTTACACACACTTCACAGTGATTAGGACTTTGGCTCAGATGTCTGAAAGCATGTGTTGGGAGGCTCACTCATGCCCGGATTGGCCCGCGGGGAAGAAAAATCACATACAAGGTCTTTTATATCTCAATTGTTTCTCCGACATCAGTGGCTCCCAGCTGGTTTGCCTTCAGGAACCAGATTTTGTTTTAAAGTGGATGTCCAATGGTGATCAAACACAGGGTGGTTTTTGTTTTTTTGGTGCTGTAAACAACCACATACAGTACAGTCATAAAATTACTTTTTTATTTAAATTACGTATTTAAAATGAGCTGAAACAACACAATTCTTGAGTTTTTCTGCGACTGCTTGACTGTTTTATGTTCAGTCTACTAAAATTTATTTTATTTATTACATTTATTTATTTTACAATTTTAAGTTAACTTGAAAGATTTTTGTTGGGACCAAGGTTATAATAGTTTTGGATTTTTCATTAGTTTTAGTTTTTATTTTGTTTGACTTTTTGTTTTCAATCTCAGTTAGTTCTAATTAGTTTTTTGAGGCAGATTTACTAGTTTTTATTAGTTTCTATATTTTGAAATTGCTTAGTTTTAGGGTGCTTTCACACTCCACATCCGGGGGTCTCTGTGTATTTGTGCATTTGCGATCTCGGACCGATTGTTTTGTCGCGGATCCGAGCGCGCTTGCTGGATTCACATATGCCACAGGTGTCAAACTCCGTTCCAAAAGGGCCGCAGCTCTGCACAGTTTAGTTCCAACCCTAATTAAACACACCTGATCAAACTAATTGAGTCCTTCAGGTTTGTTTGAAACCTACAGGTAAGTGTGTTGGAGCAGGGTTGGAACTAAACTGTGCAGGGCTTTGGCCCTCCAGGAATTAAGTTTGACACCCCTGACATATGCCATTCATGAAAACAAAAACTGCAAAAAAAAAAAAAAAAAAAAACATATGTGTTTCGAAATCTCTAGAAATGTATATATTGATACATATCAATAATGAGCCTGGGTTGGAAAAATGCCTTGCTCTGTTAAACATCATTTGGGAAATATTTAAAAAAGAAAAAGAAATTCACAGGAGGGCGAATAATTTTCACTTCAACTGTATATTCAAGGTGGGCTTGCAACTGCAAGCCTCCCCTCAAAATTGCCTACTCTAGCTTTAATTTCCTTGAAAACTACACACTACTGACCTCAAGCTTCTGACTGTCACAATCTAAGTGCAGATTTTCTCAAGTTCATGCATTCCTCTGGAACTGAACCCATGATCCCGGCACCGAGCTGAAAGACAGGCAGAATTTCCTTTGAAAAGTAGAGTAACTACAGGTTGGCAAGTCTCTAAATTGTTCTACCCGTCATCTCATAAGCCTCTCCTGACATTCAGGAAAAGCACAGCTATCTGATGCATCTGAATATATGTCAGTGTATAACACTTTCCTCTGGCTCACTGGACCCACTGTACATTACATTCAAGATATAAATGTTATCGATATGTGAAGTGGAGTGCAAAATGTAGAGTACAGTGAATTATATATACAGCCACAACAACAATAAAAATAATTTACTCAACTTAAAATTGTAAGGCAACTTGATGCACAGCTGTACTGAGTTGACTTTTAACCCAAGTACTTTAATTGACTCGATTTAACTTGAGTCAACTTAAAAATCTGAACTTTAATGCTTTTTTCTTCTTTTTTTTATGCATCATTATGCAATAGTTTAGTTTAGTTTAGTTTATTTGTAATATTATGCAGTATTATCAATACATCACTATGCAATGTCATTAAAATACCGTATGTTTGTTTTCTTTTTATAGATACATTTATATAATTAATTTAATTTAATTTAGTTACATTTATTTATTTATTTTAATTCATTTTATTATGGATTAATTGATCTATCCATTTATTTATCTATTTATTTATTTTGTTTTATAGATACATTTATATAATTAATTTAGTTTTATTTAATTTGATTATTTAATTTTATTTATGCATTAAATTAACTATTTATCTATCCATTTATTTATTTTATTTATTTTATCATTTGATATTTAAGAGTTAGAACCTTGATTTTATTTGCATTTATTTAAAATTACAATTGAATTTAATTTTAACAATTAAAAAAATTTATTTTATTAAACATTCTATTTTACAAACTTTAAAGCTTGTTTTGAATTTTTTATTCTAGTTTACAAAAACACCTTTCTGCTGGAATAAATGTCTGCATGCATCACTTAACATATTCAATTTTATTGAACTTAATTTAGTTTATCGATATTTGACTTTTTGTTAACCTTAGTGAAGGCCATCGATGATAATCTTAGCAAACACATGTTATTCATGATTATGATTCATTATACATAAATAGAAAATATTATAATTCATTACAAGCCTGAGCTTTACAGAAAGTGTAAGGAATTTTTCACAGGATTTCTCAAAATATTTTTTCTTCTAAAGAAAGTCTTATTTGTTTTATTTCTGCTCAAATAAAAACCTTTTTTTTATTTTTTACCATTTTATTTTATTAATATTATTAATTCCTTACATTTTTATTGCATTTTTCTAGACACTCAAAGCGCTTTACACATTTTTGAGGGGGGGAACCTTCTCTACCACCAGTGTGCAGCATCAACCTGGATGATCCGACGGCAGCCATATTGCGCCAGACCACACACCAGCTGACTGGTGGAGAGGAGAAAGAGTGATGAAGTCAATTATAATATGGGTATGGTTAGGAGGCCATAATGGACAGAGGCCAGTGGGCAAATTTGGCCAGGATGCAAGGGTAAAACCCAAGGATTTTTTACGACAACAGAGTCAGGACCTCGGTTTATCGTCTCATCCAAAAGATGGCGCTCACTGTTCAGTATAGATTCCCCATCAATATACTGGCGTGTTAAGACCCACACAGACAGCAAGTTGAGCGCAACCTGCTGGTCTTGCTAACACCACTTCCAGCAGCAACCTACTGTAGCTTTCCCATGTAGTCTACCATCCAGGTACTGACCAGGCTCAGCTTAGTTCAATAGGTGATGATGTGAGAGTTGCATAGAGCTAGCTGCCAATATTATTAGCCCTCTTAAGTAATTATATTTTTTAATTGCCTTCAGAACAAACCACTGTTATACAATGAATTGTCCACAGCCATATCATCCTGCAGGCCAAGACTGGTTATTCACTGTAGCTAGACAGAGTTGAGCCTGGTCAGTACTTGAATAAGAGACCACATGGGAAAACTAGGTTTCTGTTGGAAGTGGTGTGAGTGAAGCCAGCAGGGGCGCTCAACCTGTGGTCTGTGTGAGTCCTAATGCCCCGGTATAGTGAAGGGGACAGTATACTGTCAGTGGGCACCCTCTTTTGGATGAGACGTTAAACCCAGGTCCTGACTCTCTGTGGTCATTAAAAATCCCATGGCACTTCTCGTAAAAAGTAGGGGTGTAATCTCAGTGTCCTGGCCACATTTCCTCCTGGCCATAGTAATCAGTTATTAGAAATGAGTTAATAATAAATTTGAAATGTGTTGAAAATAATCTTCTTTCCGTTAAACAGAAATCGGGGAAATAATATTCAGGGGGGCTAATAATTCAAACTTCAACCGTATCTTCTTAAATAGTAAAGTCCTGATGGAGACACTGTAGTACTAGTGTCCGAACTTGATCAGTGTGCAGTTCAGATGTGCTTTTTTCTCTCGTTGAGAGTGTGTTTTGTTCTTATTACCAGTAAAGGCCAGCCTTCATTCCTGAGCCTCTGATCTGCGTCTGCCGTGAAGAGCCACTTTTGACACCTCTTTCCCATCTGCGCTCCCACACAAAAGCCTCCTCAACAACTTCTCTTCAGATCCCATTTGCTCTCAGTCTGTTTATCTCCCCGATCGGCCGCCGTCCAGGGAAACCCGCTCTTATCTGAGCAAAGAGACACACACAAAACACACATGCAAGAGAGAAAGAGACAGAGAAGGAAAAGTAGTCTCAGATCTCGTTACCTCAACGCAGAAGTGAGGAAGACAGGCGGATGAAATATATATCTCTTGACGTCTCACTAATGGACTCCCTCCTCTTTTGTTTCTCAGCTTTGCTCTGTGGACCAGAAGCGACTGATTTTCTGATATTCAGAGACGCGTCGCTGATCACTGACTGGGAAAATGAGGAATCCCTGTATGTTTTATACTAAGAATGGTGATTTTGATCTTCTGTGACTTGTAAACTTCACTGCCTGTGTTTTTTTTTACTTGTGGATGTTTTCTCATGTTGTGTGGATTTGCACCTTTAAAAATAAACATTATAAAAAAATAATACATTTAATTTGTTTCTTTTTTTGTAAGGTGGTTATGAGGATCATAGTGGCTAAAATAAAATAAAAAAATGATAAAAAGAATAAGATTATCTAAAAGTATCTAGTTGGCATAAACCAACCCGGGCTCATTATGGAAACGTAGCCCCGCGGACGTTTCTGCAGACCGCGAAATACGTCCCGGGAGGTACGTATTCAAGCAGTTTTTGTTTTCGCGGAAAAGCCACCGGAGGCCGCTGTTGAGCTACCATCTGTCCGACTGACTGGCTGAACAACTGAACGATCGACCGGGCGGCCGGCCAATCGGCCGACCCGGCCGCCCTCCTCCTCCTTCCCTAAACCGACGGTTTAAAGCGACGGTTTGCAAAAGCCGTCCAGAAAAAAAAAGCAAAAGCCCTTGTCTTTGATTTTCACCGCGTTTTCGGATTTCGCCACGTTCTCGCCCTTATTTTTTGGATTCTGTTTTTCATCTCGGTTCGATCCCGGTCGTCCCCGTGGCCAGCTCCTCCTCCTCCGGGCCTCCGCTCCACCGACGTAACGCTGCGAGCTAAGCGGACAAACTGGTTGCAGCAGGAAAGCCCTCCACACGGAGGCGAGCCGTCAGCCGGCGAGCGCGAAGAGGAGGAGCGGCGTCACACCGCCCCGTAGCGTTCGCTCGAAAAAAAGTCAAACGCGGCCATACGTACCTCCGGCCACGTAAATCGCAGTCTCTAGAAATGTCCGCGGGGCTACGTTTCCAGAATGAGCTTGGGTTGGCATAAACAGTGCTAATAAAATAAAATAAATAAACAAATAAGTAAATTTTAAAAATAATAAATAAAACCAAATAGTGATCTCGGTAATTGGGTTGAAAGTTGGGTCAACTTTAAAAGCTCTGCAGCAAGTTCCCTTAAAATTTTGAGTTGTTAACTTTTTTTTTACAGTGTAGGTGTAACAAATTAAATAAACAAAAATAAATAAACAATAAATAAATAAACAATAATTAATAAATAAATAAACAATAAAATAAAACAAAATAAAATAAAATAAAATAAAATAAATAAATAAAATAAAATAAAATAAAATAAAATAAAATAAAATGAAATGAAATGAAATGAAATGAAATGAAATGAAATGAAATGAAATGAAATGAAATGAAATAAAATAAAATCAAATAAAATCAAATAAAATATTGGTCAAAACCTAAAGTTACCAATTGAAATGTTGATCCCACAAAAAGAAATATGACCATGCAGACACTCTATGTCTTGATAAAAATTCAGAATCTGATCTGATAGGACAATTAATACTCAAAAATGTATAAAGAACAATCTAAAAGAGAAATCTTTTTAACAACCCTCTGCAAACAAAGCTCCATTTTAGGCCTAACTGCCAGAAATCGGAGAAGCCAAAATGATCCATTAGCGGCTGCAGTGCAGGAAAGGTTATGTTTACTGGCAATCAAACACAGCAAATAACAATGTGAATCAGCAAACCATTGCTAATGACTTAATGAAGAGCCGTAAGTGGCGTCTGCATTCATTTACATAAAAAGGGGAAAGCGAGGACGGCTTAAATTGGCCAATCATATTATCTTTACACTTCTACATCCCTCAGGCGTAACACAGCAGTTGACTTACAAACCACCTTTATTCACACAGCTCACCTTCCTGTCAGAAACAACTAAAATAATGTTTACAGTAAGATTACAGAGTGGAAGATACTGTGAGTTTAAAGCTCCACACATATGTTAATTTTCCTTTGGCTTTGTCACTTAGTCACTTATTAGGGGTCGCCACAGCGGAATGAACCATCAACTATTCCAGCATATTTTACACAATGGATGTCCTTCCAGCCGCAACCAAGTAATGGGAAACACCCATACACGCTCACGCTCTCACACACACACACACACACACACACACATACACACACACACACACACACACACACACACACACACACACACACACACTTCATACACTACGGACATTTTTGTTTATCCCATTTACCTATAGCGCATGTCTTTGGACTGTGGGGAAAACTGGAGTTCACACAGGAAACCCACATCAACACGAGGAGAACATGCAAACTCCACACAGAAATGCCAACTGGATCGCATATATGTGTTTGTACTCGGTAAACATTGGTGAAGTACAGAGAACTGATGACCTTCACGGCCAATCACAGTCATTTCTGCTGAGCACTGGTGAATACTATGACAAATCAGCAATGTTTAAGAATGCGCTCAGCGGCGCTTAAACGTTAGTGGAAAATTTATTTCAGTACCAAAATTCAGTATTGTGATAAATCTAATTTAATGAAAGAATCAGTTTAATAACTTGACTTTGATAATTGACATCTAAAAACGTGTGTTTAGGAAAGAAAATGTTAGCTAACTAGCATAATTTCCCTTAACTTAGCTGAAAATGAGGTCCAATATGCCTTTTTATTTTTACTACTCATTCAGAGCGGACCTTCGGGTCACTCGGAAGGCGGTGAAATGATAAATGTGTGTCACTTTCTTTTCGCTAAAAAGATAAACAGAAAGGTACAAAACGTTTCTGTGTGATTCCAGGCAATACTTCTGGGTTTCTTTCCACAACAGCCTCGATTTCGCTTTTAAAATGGTGGCCCTGTGAAATCAGTCTATGGTTTAAACTAAGCCCTGTTTGTGAATCTGGGCCTACAAGAATAAGTATAAGTCTTGATTAGCAGTTCAGATACAATAAAAACAGATGAAAGAAGAAAGAAACTGCAGCCAATGTAAAACCCACAACCCTTCTGCTGAACATCGTCTCAAAAAAAACACACACATTTAATCTGATTCACTATTAAACACACACAGAGAAGAGTGTTTGACCTCATTTTCCCTGAAGCTAACATACAGTATATACACACACATATTCACATCACATCGCACATCAACATTTAATAGAGACATGAATATTCACTCCGTTACATTATTGAAGCTTCACATGCAGGAATTCTATGTGAATGCTGTGTGTGTGTGTGTGTGTGTGTGTGTGTGTGTGTGTTTGAGTAAGCCGGTGCATGTGTGTGTGTTTGTATGTGTGTGCATGCGTGTACATGAACGTGTGTGTATGGTATGTGTTTGTGTGCGTATGTGTGCGTCCGGATGTGTGCGTCCGGATGTGTGCATGTATATGTGTAAGCACACATGTGTGTGCATGTGCATATGTGTGTGTGTATGTGCATGTGTGCATGCGTGTGCATGAACATGTGTATGTGTTTGTGCATGTGACCGTAAGTGTGAGTGTGTGTGTGTGTGTGTATGGTATATGTTTGTGTGTGTGTATGGTATATGTTTGTTTGTGTATTTAGTATATGTTTGTGTGCGTATGTATGTTTGTGACTATATGTGCATCAGTATGTTTGTGCGTGTGTGCATGTATATGTGTGAGCATGTGTGCATGTGTGCATGCGTGCGCTTGTGTGTGTGAGTGTGAATGCGTGTGCATGAACGTGTGTGCATGTGTGTGTGAGTGCGTATGGGTGTGCATGAGATGTGTGTGCGTTTGCGTGTGCATATGTGTGTGTGTGTGTGTGTGTGTGCATGCGTATGCATGAATGTGTGTGTATGTGTGTGAGTGCATTTGTGTTTGTGCATGTGACTGTATGTGTGAGTGTGTGTGTATGGTATGTGTTTGTGTGCGCATATGTGCATGTGTGTGTTTGTGACTGTGTGTGTCCGTGTGTGTGTGTGTGTGTGCATGTATATGTGTGAGCATGCATGTGTGTGTATGTGCATGTGCAAATGTGTGTGTGTGTGTGTGTGTGTGTGTGTGTGTGTGTGTGTGTGTGTGTGTGTGTCAGTGCATGCATATGCATGAATGTGTGTGTATGTGTGTGAGTGCGTTTGTGTTTGTGTTTGTGCATGTGACTGTATGTGTGAGTGTGTGTGTATGGTATGTGTTTGTGTGCATATGTGTGCATGTGTGACTGTGTGTGTCCATGTGTGTGTGTGCAAGTATATGTGTGAGCATGCATGTGTGTGTATGTGCATGTGCAAATGTGTGTGTGTGTGCACGCGTATGCATGAATGTGTGTGTATGTGTTTGCGTGCGTATGTGTTTGTGCATGTGACTGTATGTGTGAGTGTGTGTGTATAGTATGTTTGTGTGCGTGTGCGTGTGTATGTTTGTGACTATGTGTGCCTCAATATGTATGTGTGCATGTATATGTGTAAGCACGCATGTGTGTGCATGTGCATATGTGTGTGTGCATGTGTAGCATCTTCTCATGCACAGTAATCTGCATAAATTTGAGCCCCCTCAGCACAGCACTCTGTGATTTAAACAGAAATTCAATTAAAGTATTCCCTCTCTTTCTCTCTCTCTCACTCTCTCTCTCTCTCTCTCTCTCTCTCTCTCTCTCTCTCTCGTATATAAAATTGCTTAATAACAAACAACAATAATGGCGTGACATCAGTGAGTGCTGTAAGGACGGCTGGCCGGCGAGTGGCCATTAAAACACCATCTTTGATGCCTCGTTAATGCTGTGACAGTGTGGCGGGTTGTTAGGCCTGCAGAAGCCGGAGATCCTACCAGCCGTTATTAATCTTGCAGGACATGAAATTTGATTCGCCCAAATTAAGCACTACTGTAACGGGTGTCAAGGAGAGACAGATAATCAAACATGTATTTACAATTACAAAATGTCTTATTTCAATAGGGAATCGAACAGGAAACTGCCAAAGAAAACAAAAACATGCAAAATCAGCACGCTAAACTATACTTCATGACTCATTGTTGAACTAATACTGCAGTGAAAACATCCCAACTGCAGTTTTAAGACAAATAACACAAGCATTGTCTTGAAAAGAGCACCAGGAGCGACTCCACTGCTTGTTTAAGCACATAACTCAATTTGAAATGCTAATCCAGGCACAAGCTCACATGCACACGACTGCGAAATTCCCTTTCAGGCAGTTCCTGCTCTTGTATTTCGCCGAAAGCTGTATGCAGCACATATATTATACGCTGTGGATAAAATTAATTGAGAATTTGGGCCTCAAATAATTCGTAGAGGGTGAATTAGAATTTCAGATGAGTACAGTGGCGCATTTTCTCCCTTTATGAACATGCTTCTTCAGGCAGCTTGAGTTTGCAAAGGAATGATGCGAGAATGATAATGAGATTTGCAGCATTCATCCAGCATGCATTGCTGAGATCATTTTAGCAGATTAGTTAAAGTGAAACCGTTGCACTCAACGGACCATCTTAACGGTGGCAAAATGGGGCCAAGCACCACTGTGTGTGCGCAGCATACGTAATGAGATCGAGAAACATCACATAAAATATTCTAGAAGAGTCAGAGCTAGAATTTTGTTTTGACATCTAAGGTTACAAGAAGATTTTTTGCACGTATAAAGTCTTTGCATGGTACAAAATGATCTCTACAGTATATAAAAAAGCAACACAGGCTCATTCTGAAAACGTAGTCCGGTGGACGTTTCTGGAGACCTCAAATTATGCACTGTACACCCTAATGTTTCCTTTACTTAAACAATTAATAAAGTTGACAGAACATAACTTGAACTTTAGCATTTTGGTCCTATCACTTAATAACATGAGTTCATTTGACTTATGTACCATGAAAATGCATAAACTTAAGATTTCAAGTGTTTGAGATTAAAATTAATCCTTTAAACAAATAGGATATTTGTAGACAAATGTAGTCTTGACTGTAAAATTCGAATATGTCCAACCTTTTAAGTGCAAGGTCTTTTTTTAAATCAGAAAACAAATGGCTTTACGCATAATTATTCATCATAATATGAATAAATGGCTGCTTATTTTTTGATTCAAATTTATTTAAACATTTTTTCATTTTTCAATATATATATATATACATATTAGTACTAAGTTTGGTGAACTGAACAATGTAAGTATAGTCTACAAAACCGGCAAGTTAAATAAACTTAAATATGCAAGTTTTGGGAGACTCCATCACTCAATTATATTGAGGCAACGAGTTTACTCAATTATTTTAGTTCAGTCAACTTAATAGAGTTCAGTGTGTAGCCAGGGGTATGTATGGCTGCATTTCATTTTTTTTAAACAAACGCTACGGGGTGGTATGACGCCGTTTCTTTTCGCGCTTACCAGCAGACTGCTTACCTCCATGTGAAGAGCTTTCCCGCTGAAACCAGTTTGTCCAGTTAGCTCATCGTGTACGTCGGTGGACGTACCTCCTCCTTCACCTCTTTCCTCACAAGAAAAAGGTTGCTGGTTTGAGTGCCGGCTGGGGTGGTTCATTCCACCATGAAACTCCTAAAAATCAAGGAACAAGCCGGACGATCGAATTCAGGGAGCTCTCGAGACTTACCTGAGCTCAGATTACCCTGCCTCCCAAAGAAACAGTAGGGAGCCTGGGCTTAGAGTTCTCTCCCGGGACAGCATGCTGAACATGCTTTATTATCAATCATCAGATAAGTATGAACTCTTGAATTTATGGTTGTGAATTGCATAATAGGATGTTGATATCTGCTCTGTTGACTTTTTGACTGATGTTGAAATAATATATTGTATAAGAAATAATATATGGAGAAATAACTATCCCTTTAAATGAAAATAAAGAAACTTTAAAGATTCATAGAACCATCAATACCAATAAAGTAATTTCAATTTTAAGTGTAACAACATTGTGAAATAAAAAAGATAGTTAATTATGTTATATAATATACACGCTCAGAAAAACTAAAACTATTGAGCTGAAACAGCACAACTCTTGAGTTTTTTGGGACACCTTGAATTTACGTTCAGTCCACATAAATTGGTTAAGTTAACTTAATTTGCGTTGGGACAACATGAATGAATTGAGTGAAACACTGCCTTTTTTTACAGCATAATATAATATAATAAAATATAATATAATAAAATATAATATAATATAATATAATATAATATAATATAATATAATATAATATAATATAATATAATATAATATAATATAAATTAATATAATATAATATAATATAATATAATATAATATAATATAATATAATATAATATAGTATGATATAATTAATATAATATAACACAATATAATGTAATATAATTTAACATAACATAATATAATTAATTATATAATATAATATAATATAATATAATATAATATAATATAATATAATATAATATAATATAATATAATATAATATAAATAATATAATATAATATAATATAAATTAATATAATATAATATAATATAATATAGTATGATATAATTAATATAATATAACACAATATAATATAATGTAATATAATTTAACATAACATAATATAATTAATTATATAATATAATATAACACAATATAACACAATATAACACAATATAATATAATATAATATAATATTAGTATAATATAATATAATATAATATAATATAATATAATATAATATAATATAATATAATATAATATAATACAATTTAATTAATATAATATAATATAATATAGTATCATTTAATTAATATAATATAATATAATACAATTTAATGAATTAAATATAATATAATGTAATATAATATAATATAATATAACATAGTATAATATAATGTAATATAATATAATACAATTTAATTAATATAATATAATATAATACAATTTAATTAATATAATATAATATAATATAATATAATATAATATAATATAATATAATATAATATAATATAATATAATATAATATTCCATGTATACCAGAGTTGGTATTTGGATGAATCCACATTTGGGCAGCATCTTGTTTCCATGGTGCCGCCTCCGGAGTCAACAGGTGCCCTCAGCATCTGGAAGACACAAATGATTTGGTTAGTAATTGGCTTCTATTCACGTCACTTTTGACTTTTAACTGGCATCCAGAAGTTGCTCAACTTTAATTGACTCTTCTGCCAGTGGGGCACAGCCGCGCGTGTTGTCGCAGACGCCTGTCCTCATTTCTCTGGTGGTTATTTAAACCCACTGTGTCAGTCGAGAGATTAGACGGGCGTACAGAGCCATCAATAAGAGCGTTTCTGCACGCGTCTCCAGAGCTGCTGCTGATGATGGAGCGAGCTGAACCGTCGCCTGGCAACGGACGGATGCTCTTATTCACCGCAGAATCACCGCTCTGATGAACTGCACCCGTTTCTTCTCTCACAGACTGGCACACGTCCAAACACAGACCCAATTGCATCCTGCACAGAGCAGAGTAAGAAAACTTATCTCTCTTGAGTTTGGCCGCCTGGTTTTTAATTTTCTTCTCTTTTGCTTTGGAAGCCGTAAAAGTCGAGCAGGCGAAAACATGCAGCTTCCTGCGCCGACAAGATAACTATGTATGTTTTAGTACTGTATCTGCAGGAAATAGGACTGTAGTTTTCTCTATATGAGAATTCGTTGCACAATAATGAAGGGGTCATTAACTTCATTAATTAAGTGCAGAGCAAGTCTAAATCCTTCTGCAGATATTGCAAACAGGTTCTAGTCTCAAGACTATCAAACTGGCCTGGCAGATCACCTCACCACAAATACAGTTTAATGCTCTGTTTAAATGCTGAATGTAGTTTTCCACATCATTTTGTTATTCCTTTAGTAGACTCTGGCATATAAACATCAACCAAACAGACAAAAATCATTAACTTTAGCTCTAATTTATAGGTTTAAATATATATCATATTTAAAATTATATTTATATTTACTTATATTATATTTACTTACTACTGTACAGTACAGTTCTGTTACACATTATGTTATTCTGACCAAGATATGACAGACAGACGGACGGACGGACGGACAGACAGATAATAGACAGACAGACAGACAGACAGACAGACAGACAGACAGACAGACAGACAGACAGACAGACAGACAGACAGACAGACAGACAGACAGACAGACAGACAGACAGATAGATAGATAGATAGATAGATAGATAGATAGATAGATAGATAGATAGATAGATAGATAGATAGACTAACGGAAAGAGAGATAGATGGATAGACAAGACAGACAGACAGACAGATGGATGGATGGACGGATGGATGGATGGAAGGACAAAAAAAATAGACATGATGGATGGGCAAAACAGATAGAAAAACAGACAGATAGACATAGATGGGGAAGGTAGGCTGAAAGGAAGAAAGGAGGGATGAACAGACGGATAAACAAAACAGACAGACTGATAGATACGGATGGATGGACGAACGGACGAATGGATGGATGGATGAATGGATAGATAAAAACAGGTAGATATGGGTGGGTAGATTGATAGACAAAACAGCCAGACAGACAGACGGATGGACGGAGGGACAGATGAAAGGGTGGAAGGAAGGAAGGAAGAAAGAAAGGGGGGATGGTCAGATGGACAGATGGAAGGATGAATAGACAAAACAGACAGATAGACAGATACTGGGAAGGTAGGATGAAAGGAAGGAAGGAGGGATGAACAGACGGATAGACAAAACAGACACAGACACAAATAGAAAGACTGATAGAGACAGACAGACAGACAGACAGACAGAGAAGGAAAGACAGAAGGTAAGAAAGGTTCAAAAGAAGGAAAGATGGACAGACAGACAGACAGATGTATAGATAAAAGATAAATAGATGGCAAACTGGATGGATGGATGGATGGATAGATGGATAGATGGATGGACAAAAACAGATAGATATGATGGATGGATTGATAGATAGATAGACAAAACAGACAGGCAGACAGACGGATGGGTGGACAGACAAACAGACAGACACACTCACTATTTCACACGAGCACGTTGAGATAAATAATGTATAATGCAGTGATGTCACTAATCTCAAGCAGTTTGTCATCATTACACTACACACACACACACCAGCATATAAATAGACTTACTGATGAGATTGAAGATGTGAACAGAATGAAGGTGTCTTGAGTGTAGCACAGCTGCTTTCTGACGTTTATTAGCATGTGCTTTGCTTGTTCCTAAGCGTTTAGTAAGTGTGAATCAAATGCTAATCCTCAAATCACATGCAAACGCTTTATGGATTAGATTTTGATTAATACATGTCATTAAGATGCCACTCAGCTAGCGTCATATATCAGACAGCAACACAACTAGAAAGCATGAAGCTAATTGTTGCAGGAGGAGCGTTTTAGCAAAGAGTAATACACACACAAACACTAGGACAGTCACACAAATGGCCTGAGAGGAGATGTGTGAAATTTGCTAATTTGCTAACTCAAGGGCAGGGTGAAATGACAGAATGCAGAGGCACACACTGCAGCATCTGTTCAGTGTGTCTGCCAAAACACAACACCTGGACACACACAGACACACACACGCGCGCGCGCACATGCACACACTCCAGAGAGAGAGATAAAGAGCAGAGCCGGGAGCCATGTAAATCTATCCCACACAGCTGGATTCTCTGCTACTGTTCTTGCACAGTAACATCTCTGGCAGATCATTCATCACTAAGAAATACTCTCAAAAGCCGTTCACACACTGCATATTTAAAGTGTTGAAAACTGTAGTCATTTTAATGGTAAAAAACGGCTATTTTCATGCCATGTTGTCTCACTATACGTGCTGAAACCTGTAATCTAAAGCTGCGTCCCAAATGGCACACTATGCACTCATGCACTATGTACTTATGCACTTACACACTCAACAGGATAGTATATGTATGTAGTGTCGTCCCAAATGCAACAACGTTTTTTTTACCAAGCGGAAATTCAAACCGTTTCCCTAATGACGTTTGACGGTTGCCAAATCAGTGAAATAAATGACCGAATTATCAAATAATACCTGCAGTGAGTATTGCCGCATTCACCATCGGGAGGCGCTATAATCACTCTCATAGGAGAATTTTGCTTTTACCATCCAAAATAAATTCAACATGTGCGTCCGATAGCTCCGCCCCTTCCACTACCTAAGCATACCTGCGGTCGTTGAGTGCGCGAAGTGTCCATCATTACACACTTCATTTTAGCGGCTGAATGAGTGCATCATCCGGGTAATTAAAGTGCACTTATTATTTTTAGAGTTTTTAGTGTAAACACACTACTTACATTATTTACACTACCAAATAGCATAGAATAGTGCATAAGTATGCGATTTGGGACGCAGCTTAATTTTTTTCATGTAATTTTACAGTACTTGAAAGTATTTGAAACTTTGGAAAGTACCATAGTAATTAGTAACACATTAATGCTAATTTTTAAAAACTCTGAAATAACCATTTCCAGGAGTTGGGTTGCGGCTGGAAGGGCATCCGCTGCGTAAAAAAACTTGCTGGATAAGTTGGCGGTTCATTCCACTGTGGCGACCCCGGATTAATAAAGGGACTAAGCCGACAAGAAAATCAATGAATGAATGAATGAATGAATGAATGAAATAGCCATGGCTTGATAATCATAATTCTAAAAAATCACGTGTTTTCGTAAC